GGGGGGGGGGGGCAGAGGGAGGGAGGAGGAAGGAAAGAAAGAAGAAAGGAGGGAGGGAGGAAAAAAAGGAGGCCCGACTCAAGTTATTAAGGGCTTATCCAGCTAATTTGAGGCCCTAAGTCCAAACCTCAGTAAATGCATAGAGAAAGAAAGATATGTCATTATTGATTTCCCTGAGATTAAATCTTCATTTATAGGAATTGTTTGTTTGTTTTTTTACTATCTAGTCTGTCATTTCTGGGTATAAGACTCTGTTCATAACCAATGTACTTCTATCATATGACATTTTATTTTATTTTATTTTATTTGGGTCCGGTCGTGGGGCCTGAACTCTGGGCCTGGGCACTGTCCCTCAGCTCTTCAGCTCAAGGCTAGCGCTCTACCACTTGAGCCACAGCGCCACTTCTGGCTTTTTTCTTTTTGCTTATGTGGTGCTGAGGAATCGAACCCAGGGCCTCAGGCATGCAAGGCAAGCGCTCTACCACTGAGCCAGCTTCCCAGCCCTCATATGGCATTTTATTTTCTCTAATGTTCTATTTGTGCTGCTAGCACTAAATGCAGTGGTCTGAACTGTCTTGTTCTATTTGCATCAATGTAAAAGAACATATGCACAGTAGACAAGATAAAATATACTAAATTGTGGTCTTCGAAATTGCAAACATCATTAATACCCCTGAGATAAAGAGTTTTCTGGCAGAAGGATGAAATTCATATTAAATGAATGCTTCTCAATACTGTGGGCAATAAATGGCTGGTATGAACATTGACAGATAAGTTCAGCCAGGAAAGATGAGAGATGATGACCTTGGAAGACTTCTAGATTTGTCCAGTGAATTACAGCAAGAAAAGGACATGGAGCCCAGCTATAAGACCAAGAACCATTTACTGTGATTGTATGAATTCAATCATAAAATTCATATATTGTGGTTATAGTCTTTTCACCCAAAAAGGCCAGGCAATTCTCAGAGAAGCATTTTCACTTGAAATTTTATTCATTAAAATATATGAGCAAAATCCAAATGGCAAAATCTTTGATAAGCATTGCAGAGAAGTAGACTGTTACCATGTGCTGGTGGCTCATGCCTATAATCCTAGCTACTCAGGAGGCTGAGATCTGAGGATCCCAGCTCAGAAACAGTGGCCAGGCCCTGAGTTCAAGCCCTACAACAACCACCACCACCAACAACAACAAAAACTGGACTGTTCATTAATCACAATAATTTAGAGAAACCATTTAATTAAAATTTCACTTTTCCAGACTTTCAAGCTTTTATATTTGAACATACTTTCCATAATGAAGACTGTGAATCATAGAGTTGTAACTGGACAATTGACAATTTAATACATGTAAGCATGATAAAAATTTAGCAAAAATATTCATATCTTGAAAGACAAATAGTTTTTTATCTGCATTTATAAAACCCCAAACTTTGTTTTGTGTTGTAAATCAGTACTAGCTAATATATAAAGAAAGAAACAGGAAGCAACTGTAAAGCTATTAATTTCATCAATAGTTTATTTTTGTGAAACTTAACCTGATTGCAACAAAGTTCCCCTCTTTTTGCATATATTAGGTACATTAAAGGTATACATATTTTTTCTATTCATTTCTTTTTTTTCTTTTTTATTGTGAGGGGTTACAGAGGGGTTACAATTACATGAGCAAGATAATGAGTACATTTCTTATCAAGCATTGTAGCCTACTCCTTTGTTTCCCCTTCCATCCCATCCTCCACTGCTCTCCCACCCAACCCTCTCCCCCCCCCCCACAGGTATATTTAAAATGGAGTAATTCTGCAAGGAAAAATGGTCACAGCATTAGCTAGAGGTCACCTGGACAACTAGTTCTGATGTGAACGTGTAGCTACCCCTGGAATGGGCAGGAAATATTCAGGAACAGGAGAGGAAAGCCACCAGCATAAAAGATTTATGGTAAATATACAAGCAGCAGTGGAAAAAATTAAGAAGGGAAATAAGGGTACGATTAGGCACTGGTCTTAAACTTAGCCTAGAGGCAGGGATTGAAGGATTTCCACACTCAATTTATATAACGGTGTCCTTGTGCACTTGCCTGCCAGGCTGCCTACCAGGGGAGGGTTGTCTACTTGGGGAACTGTATTCCTACCTTACTTCATAGTTCATATATTTTATCAGGTTCCACGAAGGGAGACACATCAGCCAATGACTTCCACCACTTGAACAGGAAGTCTGCAATGTCTATGAACCATGGGGTAACCTTCTCCTTGCCCTGGGCTGCCCTGTCCAGCAGTTCCTCCAGCTCCTGCTGGCTCACATAGCGGTAGCTTTTCACTTCTCTGGGATCTGGGTTCACTGTGAGGTTTTTCCTCACAAACAGGACATAGCAAAGTTCTTGTTCTCCCCAGACAGAATCTGATTGAGCCTTTAGGTATCTCCGGAACATACACAGGATATCCTTTATGGAAATCTGTATGGAAATAAATTCAGTGTTAACTCAGTAATAGAATAAAAGTTTTAGATAAGACCAGTTCATTTGATTACTCAAAAATAAAAACAATTTGTAACCCCTTAGTACAATAATTAATTAATTGTAGTGGTCCCACTGAGTGCCACACAGTGATTAAATGTTAACTAAATGTTGGGCATGTGGCAAAGAAGAGATTATAGTTCCTGTCTAGGATTGTTTCTTTTTTCATACATAATGAGCATAATGAGAACAAAGAACACAAAAGGCTAAATGCAGTTCTGTGGAGCTCAGACACACTGATTTTAACCAAGAATTTTTCAGAGTAGTGGTGGGAAAGAGCAATGTTCTTTCTCTCTACTTTAGTGACTTGATTCCTAGGCTGAAGTAGAAACTCTCCCAGCAGTCACCTTCCAATCATCTCATTTGGATAAAGAATGTGATCCCATTGCCCGGTCGTGACAGCAGATGCAATGAGCACATCTAAAAGCGTCTGAGCCTGTGCGTCTCCTAGTTATGTCTTTCTGGAGACCGGTGCATACCTGCTCCTGAGGAACCCCCAGCTCAGCCTGCAGACGTCTCAGAGCTGCCCTCTTAATCCCTATGGCATCTTTCTCTTCCAGTTCCTCAGGTTGGTATAATGGATGACCAGAACAGGAGTCAGAAAAGTAACCTGGGGGAAAACAAACAAACAAATAAATACAAAGTGCTGTGTATTGGGAGTTTTCTTTCTTCTAAACTGAGCAGTTTCCTAATCATTGCCTAGTAGATAAAATAGGAAATGATAAATATAGTTGGTATATCAGGCAAGCATCAATTTATCTTCTTTTGCCAAATATATTGGCCAATATTACTGTTAATATTATTCACACTAACATTATTATTTTTTTTTTTGTTGGCCGTGGAGCTTGAACTCTGGGCCTGGGCGCTGTCCCTCAGCTCTTCAGCTCAAGGCGAGCGCTCTACCCCTTGAGCTACAGCACCACTTCCGGTTTTCTGGTGGTTTATTGGAGATAGGAGTCTCACGCTCTCCTGCCCGGGCTGGCTTTGAACCGCGATCCTCAGATCTCAGCCTCCTGAGTAGCTAGGATTACAGGCGTGAGCCACCAGCGCCCGGCCTAACATTATTTTTAATTATAGTCTTTTTATTGTTCCTTTTATTGAATTTTTTGTTTTTCTACATTTTTGTTATTTTTTATTACTTTATTAATTAAAAAAGTATTTCTGAGCCAGTCACTAGTGGCTCACACCTGTAATCCTAGCTACTCAGGAGGCTCAGATCTGAGGATCATGGTTCAAAGCCAGCCAAGGCAGGAAAAGCCATGAAACTCATCTCTAATAAACCACCAGAAAACCAGAAGTAGTGCTATGGCTCAAGTGGCAGAGTACTAGCCTTGAGCTGAAGAACTGAGGGACAGCACTCAGGCCCAGAGTTCAAGCCCCATGACTGACAAAAAAAAAAAGTGTTTCTGTGCTCATTCTGGGGCTTGAACTCAGGGCCTGGGCATTGTCACTGACCTTTTTTGCTCAAAGCTAGCACTCCTATTACTTGAATCACAGCTCCATTTCTGACTCTTTTTTTGGTAGTTAACTACAGAAAAGAGTTTCACAGACTTTCTTGCCTGGACTGGATTTGAACCTCAATCCTTAGATCTCATGCTCCTGAGTAGCCAAGGTTACAGGCATGAGTCACCAGTACTGGCTTCTACTTCCTTTTTTTTTAATTCTTTTTTTTTTTTTTCCAGTTGTGGGGCTTGAACTCTGGGCTTGGGTGCTGTCCTTGCACTCTTCAGCTCTATGCCAGTGCTCTACCGCTTGAGCCACAGGGCCACCTCTGATTTTGGAGTGGTTTATTGGAGATAAGAGTCTCATGGACTTTCCTGCCTGGGCTGGCTTTGAACTGTGATCCTCAGATCTCAGCCTCCTGAGTAGCTAGGCTTATAGGCGTGAGCCACCGGCGCCCAGCTTTAAAAAAAAATTTCTTAAGGAAGTATCTCATTCTAGAGTTCCTGCTATTGTAAAACTTTTCAAAATCTTCCATGCCTGGCTATTTGTTGTGTTTTTAAGACAAATGGGTCTACAAAATTCACTGATGCAATTTCAGGTATAAAATGCTGGTGACTGAATGTCTTCTCACTTTCAGCTGGAGTGGGAACATTTAGCCTAAAGAGAGCTCTGATGGGTTTGATAACTCATTGCATCCCAAAGCTTAGAACAGAAGTCAGTGTTCCACTAGGTTTCAAGTGAGTAAACTCACCAGGAAATGTGTACTTATCATCTGATCGTTGCTGGATCAACAGCTGGTCTTCCATGTTGAAGAGAATGACACTGAAGCTTCGGTGCCTAAGCCCTGCAAATGGGTGCACATGAGTTCATTTGGAATTGAGGTCAGTTTGGAGTCTTTATCTATCAGTACATTCAGATCAGTATTGTGACATCACCAGCATCTAGTGACCCTTATATGCCAGGTGTTGATCCCTTAGAGATCCACTAGTCATTTATACCCAGCAACACTTGGAAGTTGGCAATGCAATTTCCCTTCATTTGTAATCAAAAAAACTAGCCAGTTCTGGTGGCTCATGCTATATAATCTTAGCTACCCAGGAGGCTGAGATCTAAGGATCATGGTTTGAAACCAGCCTGGGCAGGCAAGTTAATGACACTCGTCTCCAATAGCCAGCAAAAAGCCAGAAATGAAGGTGATGAGGGAGTTCAAGTGGTAGAGTGTTAGCCTTGAGAACTAAAGCTCAGGGACAGTGCCCAGGCCCCTGAGTTCAAGTGCCAGGATGGGTAGGAAAAAAAAGGGAAAATTGAAGGAAGGAACAAAGGAAGGAAGGAAAGATGGGATAAAGGAAGGAAAGGAGGAAGGAGAGAGGGAAGAAGGAAGAAAACAAGAGAGAAAGAAGTCAGTAGTTCTAATCTAGGAGTCCTATCAGTATACCACCAAGGCTGATGAGTGACCCAGTGGCACAGAATGACTCCTTCCCTGGAACTCGCTGGGACACTGATGGTGACACTAAACTGACTCTCAGGTCCTAGGCTTCCTGCACAGTATTGCAAGGCAGCTGCAGCAAGCTGGGGACTAGATTGTTCTCAAGTGTATTTTCTTCCTCCTTCCCAAATCTTGCCTGATTTGGAGAATAACTGATAGCACAGCATGTGAGCACAGGCCAGACCCTCCTTCCAGCTCACCCTTTTCGATGTTTTCATTCAAGTGACAGTTCTTCTTGGTTTCACATCCTAAGACTCGATCCTGCTCATCAACAACGATGCACATCTCCTCTAGCCGTTTTGTCTGCAGTTCATCATGGTGAGTTGTGCCTGCCTCAGCCATACCTGCAAACACAGATTAGCTGGAGATGGATCCTATCTGCTTTTTCTTCCAGTGCAAAGCAGAAGAGAAAATGTAGCCAAATTTCTTCCCACATGGACAATGGAAATTGTGCACAATTTAGAAAGACATGAATGTTTGTTTGGAGATGGTTGGAGGTATCTTTATTATTTCCTTCTTGTGAAAGTTATTTGGTTCTTTTAGAACCTTAAAGCTTGTTTCTGACTTTTGTCATCCCATAAGTTTGGAAACCTTGGCAGGCATTATTTCTTGTAATGAAGCTAAAGAGAAAACTTTTTTTTTTTTTGGTTGGTTGGGGGCTTGAACTCTGGGCCTGGGTGCTGTCCCTGAGCTCTTCAGCTCAAGGCAAGCACTCTACCACTTGAGCCACAGGCCACCTCTGGTTTTTCTAGTGGTTAATTGTAGATAAACGTGATCCTCAGATCTCAGCCTCTTGAGTAGCTAGGATTACAGGTGTGAGCCAACAGTGCCCGGCAAGAGAAAACTTTTATAAATTCATCAATGCATATGACTGCCATGTTGTCATTGTTTGGTTATAGTTTGTTAATTATCTTTAGGTAGTGGTACAAAGGAGTTGCCATTTAACAAAGCAGTTTATGAATACAATCAATATATATTGTCTTTTTTTTTTTTTGCCAGTCCTGGAGATTAAACTCTGGGCCAGGGCACTGTCCCTGAGCTTCTAAGGCTAGGATTCTACCACTTGAGCTACAGCACCACTCCCAGCCTTTTCTGTTTGTGGTACTGAGGAATTGAACCCAGCGTTTCATGCATGCGAGGCAAGTACTCTACCACTAAGCCACCTTCTCAGCCCTATACATTGTCTTTTGTTTTCTTTCATTTTATATTTGCCTTATTTGCAAAGAGATTTCAGATTTGTAAGAATTACCGAAGCCAAAAATTCCAATATCCTCAAAGCAATTCAATTCCAATAAAAAGTACTTGTCTTAAAAGTAGATGGGAGATGAGAGAATATGGGCTAGAGGGAATTGAGTACAGCAGCAACAGCAAAGATTTGAAATGCCATCTACAGAGTGAGACTCATAGGACACACAGTCATGGGCTCTTACCTCCTCTGAAGATGAGAGTTTTAGGCAGCCTCTGAATCCTGCAGTTGGAGAGGTACAGCTCCAGCTCCAGCCAGGTTCATATATATGCGTATGAGTGTGGGTGTAGTAAGTAATCCATGGTTGTTGTTTTGAGTGAAGTTATTTCTAAATTAGTTGAGAAATCAGACTACACCCTTTTAATCAATGAAGGGTCATGCTGAAAATTGCATTCTCTCTGTAATTTAAACAATTACAAGTAGGCAGTTTTAAAACCAGATCCACTGTTTATCAAACCCCAATAGAATTGATTGCATAAAGAATCTTTGGGGGGGGGGTTGGGAAGGTGGCTCAGTGGTAGAGCGCTTGCATTGCAAGCATGAGGCCCTGGATTCAATTCCTCAGCACCACATATGCAAAAAAAAAAAAAAAAAAGCCGGAAGTGGCACTGTGGCTCAAGTGATAGAGCGCTAGCCTTGATCTGAAGAGCTGAGAGACAGTACCCAGGCCCAGAGTTCAAGCCCCATGACTGGACCCAAGGGGGAAAAAAAAAGAATCTTCTGGGGCTATGATTGGTACTACATAACTGTTCAAGAAGTTGAGTGTCTTACATCACATAAAAGACCACAATTACACAAGAAAATGTGCACTTCAAAGGTTCACACTTTTTGAAATATTTTTATTGTAAAGATACTGTGTAGAGGGTTACAGTTACAGGAGTAAGGTAATGAGTACTTCTCCTATAAAGTATTGTTATCACCTCCTTTGTTTTTCTCCTCCATCCTTTCCCTCCCCACTTCCTTTTCCCCCCAAAGTTGTAAAGTTCATTTTCAACATAGTGTCTTGTATATCTCATTATTACAATGGGTCAACCTTATTTCAGCTTTTTGTTATTTCCCTTCCCCTCCCAAATTAAAAAAATGTATATACCAGGTGCAGGGCACCAGAATCAAATACAGTGAAAACAGAGGTTATACCATGGGGGAAGCACATACAGGGCTGGGAAGGTGGCTCAGTGGTAGAGCACTTGCCTTGCATGCATGAGGCCCTGGGTTCGATTCCTCAGCACCACATAAGCAAAAAAGAAAAAAGCCAGAAGTGGCGCTGTGGCTCAAGCGGTAGAGCACTAGCCTTGAGCTGAGGAGCTGAGGGACAGGGCCCAGGCCCAGAGTTCAGGCCCACAACTGGACCCCCCCCCAAAAAAAAGAACATACAAAAGAAACAAAAGAATCACATAGTACATTATAAATACATTAAAAACAACAGCAACAAAGATAAAACCTCTTGTATCCCTATCTTGGAGTTCATTTTGCTTAGCATCCACACTTAAAGGGCACCCTTGATGTATGCCTATAATCCTGCTACTCAGGAAAGCTGGGATCTGAATACGAAGCCAGTATGGGAGGAAAGTCCATGAGACTTTTTTCTCCAATAAACCTTCAAAAAGCTACAGGTGGAGCTATGGCTCCATTAGTAGAGTGCTATCCTTGAGCAAAAAGGATCTCTGGGGCAGCCCCAGGCTCAGAGTTCAAGCCCCAAGACCAGCAAATAAAAAAGGAGCGGTGGCAATAAGAAACCGAGTAACAATATGTTTGACCAAATTAGTTATTATATAATGAAGATAAGTTTTCATAGGAATATGAGAAAAATCGGTAAATTCAGTTCATGTGGCACACAAAGAAATGAGGGATCTCTAGGCAGGGAGCAGATTGAGTAATACCAAAACAAACAGCCCTCTCTGGAACTAGGGCAGAGAAAACCCCGTGGATGCAGAAACTTTCTCACAATTCGTGTGGGTAGGTGGTAATACCTGAGCCTTTAGGGATAAGCTGAGCAGGTAGCCAGCATTATGTAAGAGCACATTTCTCAGCAGAGTTTCAGGCTGTTACAAAACCTGAAACAGGAGGAAACCAGACACAGAGTGCCTGGAGTAGAGATCGGGGGGAGGCTCACCACCCCTCTGGGCCCCACACATTGATTCATCCCAGTAGGGCACTGAGGACTTGGCTGGCCTTCTTGCCCTGGGGAGCCATGCTGTCCACAGCATATCCCTTTCCTCCCTTTCCTGGTATATGTGTCCCTTTCTCTCCTGTGGCCATGTCACTTCTCCATATGCAGTTTTATGAAATGTGAATTTCACAAGATAGGGCTTCTCCCAGTCCAAAGGACACAGAATAATCTTCAGGATAGGGGCTGGGAAGGTGGCTCAGTGGTAGAGTGCTTGCCTCACATGCATGAGGCCCTGGGGTCAATTCCTCAGCACCACAGAAACAGAAAAGGCCGGAAGTGGCGCTGTGGCTCAAGTGGTAGAGTGCTAGCCTTGTGCTAAGGGACAATGCCCAGGGCCCAGAGTTCAAGCCCCATGACTGGCAGAGAGAGGGGGAGGGAGATTATGTTTAATAAAATAATAGGGAAGATCAAAATATTGGGGAAAAGATGATCATCCATGTATATATGTATATGAAGCTTTTAGAACACCAACAGACAAAATCAGAACATAACCTCCATTATAATCTTTCTACAGTTCTTAATTAAAACCATTAAATATATCGAGTAAGGAAAAATATTGAAAGGTACAGGTGAGAAGTGACAAGTTACCATACAGGCAAATTCATCAGAATAACAGCAATTTCTCGGCAGAAACTACAAGCCAGGAAGGCAGGAATAATGTATTTGAAGACCTGAAAGAAAATTATTGCAACCTAGATTACTGTATCCAGCAAAGCTATCTTTCAGAATTGGAGGAAAAATAAAAAACCTCTCAAGTTCTAAGGAAATTAATGACTACTTAACCAGCAATGACACAAATAATTTAAGAAATTCTACACAGGAAAGAGAAAGATACAAATATCCTTGAGACTATGGGAAAGAGTAGTCTTGTTAGATGAATAGATAGGAAAATGAAGATTAAGAAAGAATACAACATTGAAAAACTACAAAAAGACAGGAATTACTACCTATATATTCTCAGTTCTGTAATTAAAATACAGACTGATAGATTGCCTTTAAAACAAGAGCCAGGGAAAAAGGAAAAAAAAAAGTATAAAACAAGAGCTAAGCTGGGAATGTGGCTTAGAGGTAGATTGCTTGTCTAGCATGCATGAGACCCTGGGTTCAATTCCTTGGTACCACATAACAAAACACAAAATAATATATATATATATATATATATAATATTATATATAAATATACAAATTATATATAGAAACAAAACAATATATAATGTATATTCTTTGCTTTTTTTCTTTTTTTCTTTTTTTTTTTTGTCAGTTGTGAGGCTTGAAGTCAGGTCCTGGGCTCTGTCACTGAACTCTTTCCCCCAAGGATAGCATCTACCACTTTGAATCACAGGGCCATTCTGGTTTTCTGGTGGTTAAATGGAGATAAGAGTCTCATAGCCTTTCTTACCTGGGCTGGCTTTGAACTGTGATCCTCAAATCTCAGCCTCTTGAGTAGCTAGGATTACAAGTATAGCCACCAGTGCCTGGTAATGTATTTCATCATATTGCCCCTACTATTCTTTTTATCCTTCTCCTTCATCATATGCACCAGTGTTTGGTGTATATATGTTGACAATTGTTCTATCCTCTTGATGGGCTTTTCCTTTGCCAACATGAAATGACTGTCTTCTCTCATGTGACCAATTTGGTTTGAGATCTGCTTTGTCAGATATGAGTGTAGCTACTTCTACTTGCTTTTTGGTATCAATTTCCTCAGACAGTCTCCTTCTGTCTTTTCATTTTAAACCTGCTTGTGTCATTGCCACTCATTTTTTTATGCAACAAACAGTTGACTCTTGTTTTTTGTTTTACTCATAAAAACTTTTTTATGAATTAAAATGCATAAATTTTATTTATAATTCATATAATTAATTGTACATTGTAAGGGATTCATCATATTTCTGTATATAATTATATATTTATAATATACATGCAC